GCGAGGACGCAGGGGGTGCTGCCCCCTCTGAAAAGAGCCCGCACGGTGTGGTGGGGCCTCGGGCTCGGACTTCCAGCTCCAGCGCTGTGAGACATAACTGCTCTGTAAGCCACACAGCTGATGGGATTTTAGGGACTAAGACAGAGACCTGGGGCTTTGGAAGAGGACTCCTCAGCTCACATCCACCATGGCAAAAATAACATCCCACAGCATCACCAAGCACATCTGAGAAGCATCCGTAGGTGCTTACGGAGAGTCCTAAAATCTAAAACCAGAAATTCCACTGGACCCACTTCTTCCCTTTCTAAGTGTCTTCCTGAAAGAGTTAATAACATAGTAAAATGATCCATGCATCCCATGTTTATAGCAGCACAACTCATAATATCTAAATCTTGGAAGTGGCCTATATATATCCATCAACAGATGAATGGAAATGGAAAATTGGTATTTACACACCATGGAGTACTACTCTGCCATAAAGAAGGATAAATTGGAGTCATTTGTAGGAAAATGGATGCACCTTGAGACCATAATGTTAAGTGAAATAAATGACACATATGTAAGCTTAAATACTGCATGATTTCTCTTATATGAGGAACTCAAAGTATAAAGAAATTAAGGAGCAAAGTAAGAGATAGCCAATAGGAAACAGAGAGATAGGTCTTCTGCAAAGGGAAGGGGACTAAGTAATGGAGAGAGCAGGGAGGGAGGAGAAGGGCAGTTACAGAGAATTAAGATGTGCTGTGCACACGCACCAACTCGCCACCAGGAATGTAATCAGTATGAACTGCAAACATGCACTAATACAAATGAAACTTAAGTGCTGTGCACATTTCTCCTCCCCAGATGGGGGCATAGGAAGCTGGTGGGAAGGCTGTGGACCCCTTGGGCCTGGATCCAAGCTGTGCCAGCTCTGCATGGCCCTCAACAAATAACATGTTGGCTTTGTGCCTCCGTTTCCTTGTTTGTGAAATGAGACCAGTAACAGTCCTTGCCTCGTGGGTCTGTTGTGAGGGTGATGAGGCTGGCTCCTGACACCACCACTGTCACCAGCCGGTAACCCAGGTAGCCCCAAGTCAGGGGTCATTGGACCCACCACAAAGGGCTGAGAGAAGTGTGGGAAAGCCCTGGAACTGACCCAGACCTGACCAGAGCTCTGAGGGCCCCCAGCCTTGGAGTCACCTCTGAGTCTTTCCTCTGGGTGCCCTGGGTCACCCAACCCCTTCTACACCACCAGGATCTGGTAGCCCAGTGAGAGCCTGCTCCCGTCTGGAAGCCCGTGTCCACATTTCTTAGGCAGCTGCTGAGCCAACCTGGGCCAGCCTTGCTGTTCAACTACAGAGCACATTCCCAGGCTCATAGTGAGCATTCAAGTTCTGCTAATGTGACCCAGAAGTTTTAACCCTCTTCTGGTCCTCGGGGCGGGCGGTGGGGAGAAGAGGGTGTCCTGTGTGCTCTGAGGCACTGCTGTACAGTTTAGAAACGTCATGCTTAGGGCTCCACCCGGAGTGCTGAAGGTGCACAGACCTGAGACTCTCTCTGCTCAAAGGGACAGGGGCCACACATACAGCCAGGGGCAGTGTCCAGTCGTCACTGCAGGCATGGGCCAGCCCTGCATGGTGCCGGCTGCTCTCTAGCTGAGCAATGAGCTTGGAGGGCTTTCTCCTTGGTGACCCTAGGAAGGGATAAACCCAAGCTGATGATTAAGCAGGAGAAGAAATTCCCCAAATCGAACAGGAAGAGAAGAAAACAGTTCTTGCGTTTCTCTCATATGCTGGGTGCCTAGGACTCATTTGTCCATTACACTCATGGGGGCCCTCGCGTGGGCACTGGTGGTGTCCCCATTTCACAGAAGTGCAGACTGAGGCTCAGGGCTTGCTGAGAGGAGCCAGGGCTGGCTGTGATGCTGATCTGCCATCAGGCCACCAGGGTAGCTTCCTGAAGGGCCAGAGACCTCCTGCATTGTGTCTTCTGTGTCTTCCAGAGCATTAGGCTTCAGGTCACTTGACCACTGAACGTTGGACCCCTTCCCGAGCTGTGCATCCTTGGACAAATCATGTAACCTCCCTGTGCCTCAGTCCTGCCCCTGGGAAGGGGCTCATGTGCCTCACCGAGCTGACCTCAGGGCTCACAACAGAGCCACTAGGGCTCTGGCCCAGGCAAAATTGCAGACAATGGTGGCCACCATGCCCGGGGGTGGGTTGGGGCTAGGGCTGGGACCTGATGCCAGATGCTTAGCTCTGTGTGTCTGACCATGACTTCTGCAGTCTTCGGGCCTGATCTGCTTTTGAGAGGGGCCCACAGGGCCAGAAGAAGGGACAGCCTGGTGGTGCTGCATGTGGCCTGGAGGCCTCAGGACAAAGCCAGCCAAGGCAGCTCCAACGTGCCCTGGCCCTGGCAGAGGAGCTCAGTGGCACAGGTCTGGAAGCAGCCTCCAGACACGGCAGGCAGAGGTGGCAAATGGCTGGGTGGCTGCAGGAACCCGTGGGAAGTGGTTAAGAGAACTTAGTCTTTCCTCTCCTGCTTCCTCATGCTCTGGCAAAGCTTTGCAACCAGAGAGGCTGAGGCAGGACACTTACTCAGATGCTCAAGGTCTGGAAAGGGCCACTTGAGGAGGAAGGAGCCATCCAAGACAGGGAGGAGCCCAGCACCTCAGGAAGCCATGGGCCCCTGGGTTGTGTCCCATCCAGTCTGGGTCCTCGGGGCCCGAACTGAGAATAGACAGTGTCCCTATTGTCCAGGAGAGCATCCCTAAGACACTGTGTCCTAGGACAGAGGCCCCCCAGGTCCTGGGGACAAAGACAATCCTGGTACCAGGAATGGTGCTGGGACCAACTGAGGCAGGCTCTGTAGAAGATGCCATCGTCTCCTGCCAGCCAGAAGGGAATCCACACACTTGCCCTGGCCTCAGGAGGCCACTGTCACTCAGACTCTACTAGTCACCACATGAGCAGCTGAGTCCCACATGAGCCTGTGACCTATGCTGGGTGACACCCTGGTGTCAGCAGGTTCACAAGCTCTGTTTTGGGGTTCCCAACTCTGCCTCAGGTGGATCCCTGGCTCCTCCTCTGACCTCTCCCAGCAGCTCATATCTGGAAACCCAGGGGGCCTATCAGATACACAGAGGCCTCTGGGAGTTTTTTCAGCTGACTGAATGAGACTTGCCATTGAGCCACAGGCTGTGGATTGGCTAGGATGTTGGGGACTCCAGCACTGTGTGGCCCACCGCAGGGGCCTTCCTTTGCCGCCCTGAGCTTCTTTCTACTGGTGCTGGGCACACAGAACCAAGCAGCCCAGCCTGGCCACAGATGGCACCCTGTTCCCAGCTCTGGTAGAGGCTGGGACAGGCTACTTCCAGACCCAGGGCTTCCCTTCTCCTGCGAGGACCTCCAGGGCATTCTTGGGGCCAGGACAGAGGCAACTCATGCAGGGAAGGGTGGCCTGGTGGACACATTCATCCCTGCCTGTCCCTCATGTCTCCCTTTGCTTGGTCTCAGGGTCTAGGGCCTTCACCTCCCAGGACCCCCATGCCACCAGCCTCTTCCTGCCACCAGACACAGTGGCTCCCATCCAATGAGCTCTGTCACCAAAGAGCAGGCACCATGTTTCCCAGTCCGGAGACCAGGGACAGACATGGGCTGGACTTGGGTTACCCGGAGAAAGTGGCTATTTATAAACCACTCGATAAGCATAATCTGCCCTGCTCGGCTGGCTGCACGGACACGACACACGGCTGGTGACTCCACGGTGAAGCTAAGCCTCCCAGCGCTACCATAGCAAACAGAACATTTCCTGTGCCAGCCAGACCTGAAAACAGGCTGTAGAGGGCAGAGGCCCAGCGTGCTAGCCTCTGGTCCCCAGGACCACTCAAGGCTAGCCTCTCAGCAAGACCTTCTTCCCCTGCTTTCTTGGGGTGTAGGGTGTTGCACTGGCCTTATGCAGCCAAATTCTGCAAAGAGCCACATAGCCAAGGACTTTGCTCTGGCAGCCCATATGGTCCCTGTGGGTGTGGTATAAAATAAGCCATAGACCATGAGCGAGCATGGCCATGTGCCAATAAAACTTTATTTATAAAACTAGGTGTCTGGCCCACAGGCTAGGTTCCCCATCTACTGAGGCAAAAATTCTCCGATGCTGGGAAACGGAACATCACTTACCATGCATATTTCAAGATTTATTCTCCAGGGTTCTTACCCTTGTGGTGGCATTTTAAAATCCCAAATAACTTTTCTTGAGGCTGTCTAGCTTTTTGTATATGGTCAAAGCTATTCTTCTCGCCTACCAATCTTTCTCCACAAAAGAAAACACTTTTTTAGATTGGCCTAGGAGGCCACAGGAGCCTGGCTGGGCCCCCAGGGTGTGTGGGGACAGGCGGCTGGGGGAAGGCTATGTCCTGCAGACACATGTGCCTCCGGGGTCCACAGACCAGGATGTCCCGATAGCTCTGTCCCCTGCTACCGCTGCAGAGACCCTGCCTGGCTCAGCTGTGGGGGAAACCAGAGTCACTTCCTCCGACCTGATTTCCCCAACTGTGGCCGGGGAGGTTGTCCAGGCTGGCCACACAGGAACTGGCATTTTGGCAGTGACCGCTCACTCGGCAGCATAGGAACAGAGCCCTGACAGATGACAGAGAAGGACAAAGTCTTGCGCGTGGGGACCACGTTCTCTGTACACAATCCACACGGCACGTCCAGAGAGCCCTCACCCTCCACCGCCCCACACACCCCACACCACGGCCGTCTCAGGCAGACATTCCCTACGCCATCAGTTGGCGTGCCCTGATCATGCCAAGGGACCCGCCTGTGTCTGCACTGTCTCTTCCGCGCCACCCGTCCCAGCTGCTGCTCCACAGGCCTCCCAGATCAGACTGCCCGCAGCCCAGTCAACTTCTTCCCCTGTGGGCCAGGGCTGCCTGGGGGACAGAGGACGGGAAACCCACACCTCCCAACTCTCCCAAACCCGCCCGACTATGGCCAGATCCTAGAGTCCGAGGGGCTTACCTCGGCAGAGACCCGGCGGGGACCAGTGTGCTGTGGAGGGGAAAAGGCAAACAGTCCACCCGGCGACACCCGTGTGGTGTCAAGTAACAGTCAGATTAAACAAACAGCCTCAGCGGCTATTTTTACATCCAGATCAGCCCGGGTAATAGATAACTTAGGGAGCGAGAAATTGCTTGCCGATTAGCTGGACCCTCCCCACGAGCCGATGTTCATCCAGAGTGACTCCTAAAGCCATTCGAGCATCTAGAAGTAAATAAAAATATCTCAAGGTGGGAAGGAAAACATTTGTCTAGGGAAACGTTGAAAACATGATCGTGTATGCCTTGGGGCCAGCACTCGGTGGCCTGCTGATGTCCCTAGGCAGAAATAGCCCGTTTCATCATCGGCTCTGGACGAGCCATGCCTGCATTCCTCGAGTAAGGAGCCACTCTCCACTGAGCTTTTGGAGCAATGATCTCTCCAGCTGCAGGCTGGGGACAGGCCAGGCTGGGGCTCGGGGGACAGTGTGGAAGGCCATGAATAATCGGGAAGAAGCAGGTAAGTGATCCCATGCTGAGCTCGGCCACAGCTGCCCAGTCCCCTGCAGGGCACAGGTGCCAATGCGCAAGCCCTCCGGCCAGGCAGGGGAGCCGTCCCATGGTCACCTTCTCTGTACTGGCCCAAGGTCACCAGCTCCCCACACTGCCCAAAGACCCCCAATTCCTCCCCAGGCTTTGCTCACTAACCTATGCCAACTCCCAGGAACCCTTCTGGCCTTCTCCCAGCTGGCCCCACGAGGGTCCACTCACTGTCAGGACTTAGTGCCAGAGATTTTTCTGTTTTTCCAAAAACTCTCTCATGTTCCCCTCTCCCATGGCCCAAGAAAACTGAGGTGACCAGTCCCTCGCAGGTGCCCTGCTCCCCACGGTGCCCCAGCCCTGGGAACTCTGCAGCACCGGTATCACTGATCTATTTGTGGACTGCCCCTCCCACTTGTGGCTTCTCAAGGGCAGCCACCTCCACCCCAGCCCCAGGGCCCTGGCACAACCCCTACCTCAATGCTGCTGGTGGCTGGGGCCCATGACTAGGTCTGCTCACTTTAATTTGAAGCAGTTTAGAAGGAACAGCTCCTTAAGGCCCTGAAGAGGGAGGCACCAGTAGGGTGACTTAGGTGGTGACTAAGATACTACCTAAGTCACCCTACTGCTATGAGCCTCAGTTTACCCACCTATCAAATGGAGAGAGTGCTGGTGCTCTTTGGGGCTGAAGGTTGCAGAAGCTCACGAACATAAATATGCTGTACTCATACACTCAAGCTGCTCAAATATAGCCTGTTGTTTGTGATTCTTTTCATGGTTTTTGCCACATCCTCAACTGTGTGTATCAGCATTTGTTGACTATTTTTCTTTCAAGAAAATTGAAATCAACTTAGTTTGCTTTTGAGCAGACTGTCATGGTGAACAATAGCTGAGAAGTCATAGACTTGATACGTTAGTTCATATTTTTTCCTATGACACATGGAAACAAATGCACAGCCAGTCCATGTGTCAGCTGCGCTTGACCCAAATCATTCTGTCCCAGGTGCTAGGAAATTTGGCCTTGCCAAATCTCATTTATGCAGGAGGCAGATTTAGGGTGATCGTAACCGGAGCTGCAGTCTTCAGTGGGCCCCCAATTTTCCTAACTTGATTTCCCTTCTTCAGGACGCTCTTGCCTGACTGACTTCTAATTCTTCACAGGTGGGGAGAGTTTGGCTTAGGATCCTAGGAATGCAGGGGTGTGCTCTGCGCCAGGAGCTGGTGGTGTTTGCTTGAAGTGGCTGAGAAAGGAAAATTGTGAGGGTGACTGTGGGGAGTTCAGAGCCCGCGCAATGGCAGGCAGCTTGGTCAACAGCGTCAGCAGCAGGGTCAGGAGAGCAGCTGTCCCAGTGAGACCCTGAGGCTTGCTTCACAGCCCCACCCAGCCAGCCTGAGCTCGGGTGGTGGCTGCAGAGTACCCTGTCCCCAGAAAAGCCTATACCCTCCCACACCATGGGTCCCATGCTTTGCCCTGCTGCAAACCACCCCAGGGCAAGGACATCGCTGAGCTCTCGACCAAGAACCCAGGGTCTCGTGGCTAGGAGCTGGCCGTGTTCCTGGGGGCTTGGCCCAGGCAAAGTGACCCCTGCTGTCCAGTCCAGCAGCCTTGAGCTGCGTGGAAAGAATGTGAATGAAGACACGATTCTAAATGTAGCAGCCTCATGGGCGCTATGTGAGCCAGCCTGCCCCTGACCGGTCAGAAAAACAAGGCCTGAGTGTACATTCTGCAAGAGCATAAATAAAGCTGTCCTCGGATGGCGTACTCAGGTCCCATTCTTGCAGTGGCTCTGGGGCACTGAGGGGCGGGTATCTACCTACTGGTGTGGGCACAAACAGCCTGGCTGTCCTCCATTCTACCTATTAGTGTGAGTACAAACTATCCGGCTATCCTCCACTGGCAGGAAGACCAGTCAATAAATCTTATGGCACAGTCAACCCACTCTGCAACTGTGTCCATGAGACGCCTTCAAAAGCTGGGGCCAAGGGCTGTGCAGCATGGGCCTTGCAGCTAATTTTTGGTTCTGGGCATCTAAAGCTCCCATTCCTCCAAGCGACCTCAGGTGACTCACAGTATTCTCCTACGCTCTCAACCTGAGCAACAGTGACATTTCTCCACTAGGGCACAGATTTCTTCAGAAGACTTCTGCAGGACCCTGGTGCATTCTTCTGGCTTAAAAATAATAATGATAAATACTCTCCCTATACCAGGGCCGTCTCCTTCTTCCACAACACCCTCGCTCTACCTGAGTGACAGTAGTCAGTGCTTCCTCCTCACAGATGAGGAAACTGAGGTTTGCCGAGGTCCGGAGGCCATGCAGCCGACAGCAGCAGGGAAAGGACCATCCCCTGCCTGTCCGATGTGTGCCTCGTTGCTTTCCCATCAACCACTCTGCCAGCCCAGGCCCAGGATGCAGCCTCTTCCCCCACGTGCTCACTGGGCTTTTCCCTGGTGAGAAAGGGTTTGGCCTGGGTCCCTCCTTACTATGACTCATTACGGGAACTTGAGAATCTGTGTCCTGTGTTGGCACCACCCAAGTGTGTCCCTAGGGCTTGTGGCAAACTGGTGCGCCCCTGTAGGAGGCAGATCCTGGGGCTGAGGCCTAGCTTGCCCACCTAGGTTTCTGTGCAGGTGACCCTCCTGCAGGGACACTGGGCTGACACCTGTACTGCTCAGGGCTGTCCTGCACTTGGCCAAGGGGCTGACCTGGGGGACAGGGTCCCTGTTGTTGGGCCACAGCTCAAAAATCCACCCACAGATCCAGGCAGCCGAGTGCCCTTCCTGGGGCTAATGTTCTTCCTGTCTGAACATCCAGGCACCAGAATGACAATTGTCAGAACTACCCAAGGCCCACCCTGGAAGAGAGTTGTCCCTTTTCAGGGTTCTTTGCTGGGGACTTTACAGTGAAAGGTTTAAACAAGTGAGAGAACCCACAGAAACCTGTGAAAGAGGTAAATGTACTAAAATGCCACCAAACACAACAAAGCCATAGAGACCAGCTGCGAGGACTGTCTCTTTACAGACCTGGGGAGCACAGAACTCCTCTCTCAGAACTGCCATGTGTCTGGCAGCTAGGGTTAGGAGGAGCTACTCTCTAGAGCATCCTTGCCTCATGGCCAAGGGTCTTCCTCCTAACCACAATCGGAGACAATCTCTGTGCAAAGGGACAGTGAACACAGCGCAGAAACCTTTAGAGTGTACATTTAGAACTTTGAATTTCATGCAATTTCCACATGTCAAAAGTAGTGTTTGATTTTCCTTCAAACTATGGGAATAGGTGGAAACCAGTCTTGGCTTGCTGGGCTGTAATGGGCTGGATTTGGTTCAAGGACCCTAGCTGGCTGATCTTACACCAGTGGACACAGACTATCTGTTTTAGACACTTTCTCGTCACTGGAGCACAACACTTGACACCCACAACTTAAAAGAGAGGTGCATTTGGACTCCCTGCATTTAGAGGTTTCAGTTCAGGGTGGGGCAGCCCAAGGCAGGAACAGGATAGTGGAAGGGCCTGCTGTGGAGGAGAGCTGCTTGCATCATGGTGGACAGTAAGCAGAGACAGAAGTGGAGCTGGGGAGGGAGATGAACCCTTCCAGGCCACACCCCTGGTGACTCGCCTCTTCCACCAGGCCCCACCTACTCGTATTACACTCAGCCTCAGGACACATCAGTGGATGGATCCACCAATGAATATAGCAGCCTTCATGATCCAAGCACCTCCCAAACCCCGCCTCAGAGCACATGAGAGTTTGGGCTCCTTGTCCACCTTACCCTAAAACCATCTGAGCTAGTGAGCACTTATATGACAAGTCTACAATGAGACACACTGTGAAATGCACATGGATACAAAGATATCATTAAAAAAAAACCCACAAAATAGCTCAGTGATGTCTGTATTGACTGCTGACTGCATATTAAAATGATCGTGTGGATGACTCCTGGCCTAAAATGGCTCCACCTACAGTTTTCCACCTAGGATGGTTTGCAAGTGGTACAGGTAAGTCAGGGACATTCTGTGCAGTTCTGACTATAGTCCAGATCCCTCAGGGGTTTCCTGGGCCGTCACCTACTACAAGTTGAGGAGCATCTGTACTTTTGGTATTCTGGGTTCCATAAGATCTGTTGCTAAAATTTGTTTACACAATTTCTTTTTCTTTTTGAATGTGGCCACTGGGAGATTTCAAATGACACCTGTGATGTGCACAGTGATTCTGTCACACAGGGCGGGGCCAGCCCTTCTCCTGGCATGGACCCCCTTGCCCAGTAACCCCACCTGGTGAGGTCGCCCTGGAAGCAGGCTGGGAAACTCCTGGTGAAGGGCCCAGATGTTAGCAGGAGCACAGGCAGCTGTTTCCCGGGTCACCTGCAAGCACTGTTGTCCCTGTTCGCTGTGAAGTACGGGGCCCCTAAGAAATTAAGCCTTTGCTAACAAAGAAAGGAGGGAGAAGACACTATTCCTCTAGCACCTATGCTAAGCTGGACATCCATCATGGTGCCCTCTTTCTGTTCTCCATGGCACGGGTCACTCGCAGAAGCCGCCTGGCTTTGGGCCTGGGCTATCCTGGGTCTCAGAAGGAAGCTCTGAGATCTTCTATGCAGCAGTCAATGCTTTGTGCACCTAGTGTGCTGAGGAAGGCACAGGCACAGTCCCCCGTCCCACTCCAAGTGCTCCCCACCACTTGCCCCCACTCCACTGTGACCTTGGGGCTTGGGGCTCATCCTGGAAAATGCACTGTCTGCAGGGACCCAAGCCCACTTTCTGAGGACCTTGGGTCTCAAGCCCTTTCAACCCATTCATGCCTTCTGTGGGTTCCATATTGAAAGCTGTGACTCCTGAATACAGAAGTCTTTCTGGGTACCAGCACAACCAGTGGTCTTCCTGTGTGGTACCATTTTCCATCTCTGAGGTAGTGGAAAGCTAGGTTCCAGAGTTCAACACAGGTGACCTGGGGGTGCGACTTCAAGGAATTAGGCAGCATGCT